TGTCATATTGCCCTGCACCAAGACACTAAACTCATCCTCTTTTGCTCTCTGAATGTGCGGAGGATAAAACCGTGCCCTTATCATCGTCTTGAATGTCTCCCACGGTAATCCAACCAAATTGCTCCCGGAAGCCTTCTCATTATTCCACCACTTCTTGGCTAGTCCTTCTAAATAATATGCAGCTATCATCGTCTTCTCTCCTTTCGGGCATCTCACCACCTCAAATATAGTCTCCAAACGATCTAACCATTCTTCCAAAATAGTCGGGTCCGATTGACCCGTGAAGGTCGGAGGACTATGACGTAACACCGCATCCATAGCACTCCGGGGCTGCTGAGTGAACTGTCCCACAAACTGATGAAAGATCTCCAATGTCGGGTCTGACGTTTGAACGGGATCCTGAACTAGAGACTCGGGGTTTTGGGATTGCCTACTCTCAACCTCTTCATCGGAATCAGGTGCCACAGGTGGCTGACGAGCACGCCTAGGGGGCATCTTGCTAATTGAGACTAGACCTAATAAGCTCCAATTAGTCTGATAGCATGAACAATGCACATAAACACATGGAATAAACATAAAATGCAATGCATGCCATAAATGCACCCAAACCCGACTAAGCCCATGATCTAATTGTTTTTAGAAATTTTGAAATCTTCAAGTTTTATTAACCAAGAAGCATGAGCCTTTAACTTGGCTATGATACCAACTGTAACACCCCGGCCGGCTCAAACCGGAGCGTCACCGCCACGCCACACCGGAAGGCTTGTTCATCAACCAACGAGTCCTACGTTATGGCGCTAAGGCTTAAATAATAAATACCAACAACTAATAGGAACTTAGAATTAAAGCGCACCGGCTTATCACTTAAGTAAATAAAGTTCAATTTAAAAGCATAAATTGGAAATAGTTCAAAATGCATTAGTCTTTAAACACAATCAACGAATTTCAAAACATTTTAGAAAGTAAGGTAGTTCTCATTTCCCCTGATGGATCATATGATGTGAATGCATCACTTAGGCATAACGGAAGCATGATCACCTACAAAAAGAATCGTAAGAAGGGGGTCAACACAACGGTTGAGTAAGCGCAATTAATTGAAGATAAATTAATACGATATAATGCCACAAAATCATTTGAAAAAGATAGTCGAATAAAATGAAAAGTATCATATAAGGAGAACTCACACACACGAGTCTTTTAGCGCATCCCTTACACCTCATTTTCATTATCAAATAATAGCGATGAGCACATCACGAAAAAAACTCCACTAGGCCTTAATCAGGGCCGGCTCGACCCGGTTTTCCAACCTTATTACTTCGTATGACACGTCACATAATTTCACATAACAAACATAGGGTCATAACCCTCAAAGGAAACTCAACAATGTGTACATAAGGGTTCGAAATCCAAAGTACACGTAAATCAATTTATTATTAGTTGGCGAGGGGCGCCATACGGCCCACAACCCTCTAGTCTCCAATATAACATACCAAGAGGGGATTGTACGCAATCTATCCCTCCATCACGGATGACGGTCTAAAGGCATTTCCATCGTGAATGACGGGCACCTCGGAATCATCCTAAAAGGGAACCGACCATCTCGATCCCTCGACCTAGCCCATTCGGTATCTAGTTCAAGGCAAACTCAATTTTACTTTTAGTTTAAACCCAACTCTTTCATTAATTACACTAAAAGACCAAAATAAATCATGCCCAAAATGAATTTGTCCCACTCCGGCAAACATCCGGCGATTATTTTACGGGGTATTACAGAGATTGTGTCCGCCGTGCTGCAAAGAAAATTGCCACAAAAATGCGGAGATCTAGGTATGTTGTAGTCCCGTGCAAAATAGGTAAGATGAAAATTAAAAGAGCTATGCTAGATTTGGGTGCAGCTATAAATGTTATGCCTAAGTCTATTTTTAACTCTTTGAACATTGGGCCCTTGAAAGAAACATGGATAGTGATTCAACTAGCTGATAGAACTTACGCTTACCCCGAAGGGATAATTGTGGATGTTCTTGTGCAAGTGAATGAGTTAATATTCCCTATTGATTTCTATGTTTTAGATATGCATGATGAAAATTCGCCTAATCCTTCACCTATTCTGCTTGGACGCCCTTTTATATGTACTGCACATACAAAAATTGATGTTAAAACAGGGACACTTACCATGGAATTCGAAGGTGTAATGGTTCATATCAATCTTTTTTATGAATCGAATGATCCTGGGGAACCTCATGCTTTGTATTGTGTAGATGTCCTTGATCAAAATGTGGAGGAAGTCTTTCAAGTTGGAGAAAGAATGAAATTGCAATTGCAAGAGTTTGAGGAGATTCAGAACAAAGCTTTCGAGAATGCGAGGATTATTAAAGGAAATAGTAAGAAATTTCATGATCCAAATATTTTGAGAAAAAATTTTAAGGTTGGTCAAAAGGTTTTGCTTCATCATTCTCATCTTAAGCTTTTTCTGGGTAAACTTCATTATCATTGGATAGGTTCTGGGTAAACTTCATTATCATTGGATAGGTCCATTTATGGTTACTAATGTGTTTCCGTGTAGTGCAGTTAAAATATAAAGTTTGAGCACTGATAAAAAGTTTGTTGTGAATAAACTCATCTTAAACTTTACTATGAGGGGTTCCAGAGCAAGGAAATGAAGTGCGTAGCTCTTTTTGAGCCGCGTGATTAGCTTAAGAGATGTGTCAAGCCAACGACAATAAACAGAGGCGCTTCTTGGGAGGCAACCCAAGTGTTTTAATTTTATTTTGCGTGCTTTGAGTTTTTGTTGTGTTTGTGAGTCAGTCTCATGCCTTGAGTTTTTGTGTTTTGATGCAGGTAACAAATTCATGGTTGGATTAGCATAATGAACAAAGTTCTTAAGCGTGGCCATTGATGACTCCAAATAGGAGCATATTCTTAGCTTGACAGAACTGCGTATTACTCAAATTTCTGTATAAAAACCATCACAATGACCCATTAATGGCATACATTATTGATCTATATCGCTTGGCATGATCCAGAATTTGTTGCTGAGATTATTAATGATTTTTGCCCTTTTTAAGCGGTAGTCTGTGCGTAAAAAGCTAAGGCAGACGCCATAAGTGACAACCACGTCCGCTTGCAAGCGCCCAGGATACTTCTTGGAAAATATTAAGGCATGCGAGGCAAGCGGTAGCATTCACCGCCGCAAGCGACAGCCTCTCCCGCTTGCAAGCGATAGCCCAGAAGCCCACCACTGCAGATTATCACCAGATTCCAACTAAGTGTTTCAACTGCAGCGGTACAACTATTTCATTTCCAGCCAGCACAAGCGAGCCTAGCTGCGCTGATGCCCTCCAGCTATCCGGCAAGCGAGGAAGATCTAAGTCTTTACAGTTCAATGCAATCAAAGCGAGCGCCTTTGGAGTTATGGCCAGCAACTGCTTCAACAGAATAACTACCAGTAACCGCCTAACTGCCCAGCGGTTGGAATCGCCCAGCAACTGATTGCAACCGCCCCGTTTTACCTACTATAAATAGGGCAGATATCATTATGTAAAAAAGGGCAATCGATACTTCGATTTAAAATACTTTTAGCAATTACTTTTTGCAAGCAAGTCGTCTTCCTGTCTTCGTTTACAGCTTTGTAGCTCTAGTCTTTCCCTGCTTTCGTAGTAAATAATGAAATATCATTAAGTTCTTCATCCTCATTTCTTCCACACTTTTTACACACTTATATAAAATTTGAATTTAGAGAATTTCATTTCACTGATTTAGAACAACAGAAGAATTGATTATTTGAGCCTTGTTATGCGCCAAAAGCGGTCTCAAGGTAGTTCAATGTAGTTAAGTACACGGGAGCCTTGTCGATCTGCTTAACTACTGGTCTGAATTCAATTTTGCTTAAAAAGTGGTAACAGAAGGGTAAAGCCACTAATGAGGCAGATATTGGGAAAATTAACGGGACATAGGTGGTGGTTTATTAGGTCACAGAGATTCCTAGTGACAATTGGGTTTCTTTCTTATAATGTCTCGATTCTAGGTGTCATTGAAGTCTTGTTGTAAATCCCTTAAGGTCAAACTTCCAGTGTTATGAATTCTTTATATTTAGTTTATATAATTATATTACCCCCTTTTCACCGCTTCCGTAAAATACATATATTTCTGATAACACACTTACATCGCTCGCTCACTACATCCAGGGAAATCTATCCATTTAGTAACGCACAGTTCAGACACAACATCTCTCCTTCCTGCATTTTTTCGTCGCTTTTTCAAGATTTTCACCATTAAAATTCATGACTTAAAATTCTTGTGTTCGACCTGGAAACTCACCAGTAAAAAAAGTATAAATAATTGTGATAACTACTCAGGGTTTACAACCACAACAATTACTATATCTGATCATTTTTCTATAAACTTCCACTCACTGATTTTCGAATATAAATTTCCTGTGGATTTGTACAAGATTAAATATACAAATCTTTGTTATCAGCCACGCATACAATATATTGTGATTGATGACAAAGAGACATTTTCAAAGAAATTAGAACGTAAAACTTTTTTGGGCGTGATCACGCCTAATGAAACCTTACATTCTGAAAAATTGTGCAAAACAATGGTTTATTTTAGAGTATTATTATATTTATTATTATTATTACATTTATTATTATCATAATTATTATTATTATTATGAAATTTATTATTACTATATTTATTAATATTTCTTTAATAATAATAATTATTATAGCTATTAAATTTTTCTAGTATATATATATTTTTCTATATTTATTATTATTATAGTTACTATATTTATTTTTATTATTATTATATTTTTTAATACGTCTATAATTATAATTATTATTATAGTAATTAAATTTAAATTTTTTTATTTTTATATTTATTACTATATTTATTATTACTATTACGGTATTATTATTATTATTATTATTATTATTATTATTATTAGATATCCATTAAACCCTACTTCCTTTTGTCTTTCTCTCAATCATAGAAGTCGCCGCCTTCCCTCATTTTCTCTCTCTCGCAGTCGGTTCACGGCCGGTTTGATCTTTCATTCCTCTCTTTCTCTCTCTCTCGCAATCGCACAACCCGTCCTCCGTTGACCAGAACCACCACTCCAGTCGCCGCGGCCCTTGATCGTTTAGACCGTCAGTTCGCTCATTCAGTCCGTGCACCCACGTTCTTATCAGACGCTGCTTTGATTTCAAGGGAGTTCTTTTCTGCTAATCTCTTCTGCTATCTGTGACAATTGATTGATTCTTGTCGATTATTGTCTCGATAATATTTGAGATTTCTTGAAATTGTGCAAATTTGGATTTGGGTGATTATCTTGGAGTTTATTTTTAAAAATTGATGAATGGATGATTGGGAATGATCATGTGGTGTGAAATTGTCGATTGCACATTGAATACATATTTGAGATTGATGTTTGGTGTCGGGTATAATTGCTAGTGCAAATGTTTTGTGGAATTTATAGAGGAATTGTAATTTTTTTTGTTGAATTCTTTTGCGTGAAGGCACGATGGGCAAGGTGCAAGAGTTGGATCCCTCATACTGCCCCAACCCGTGCGAGTGTCGGGTCTCCTTCTCAGTGGCCGGTCGCCCCGACCTATTCCAGGGAAGTTTATTTTCTTTGCCACTTTCGTTTCATCTTTATTTTTGCAATAGGGTCATTGCTTCAATTAGGTGTGGGGGGAGATTAGAACTTTTGATGCGATATAATGCTTTATTTTGATAACTTCCCCACATGTCCTCTTGTGTATTTTGAGCCGATCTTGTTGTGCTTACTTAGTTCATTAGGATCTTGCCGTGTTTGTTGATGAAATTAGATGATGAGTGTGCTTAGCCTTCTAACAAAGAACTCTTAAGTGAGTTATTTGAGCCTTATTTGAGTACATTCACTCAGACATATCATATATGCTCAATTTTTCTTGGATTGAGTGAACATATGTTGTATTTGACTACCTAGAACTTGCTTGCTTATGCTTATTGACTCCGTGTTTATTGAGAATTGATGGGATTAAAATGATAAGGCACTAGGATTACCCTTGTTGGCCTTAAGTTCACATCTTCACCTATATTATCCCCTACTGAACCAAGTTTGAGCTTGATGTTATTATCTTATTTTTCTTGGTTTATATTTAACCCCCAAGCCGCTAAGCCCTTTTATTGGATTAAGCCAAACGCTTACTTGAACCTATGGGAACTTGAGGGATTGTTCTTTGATTCATTACATTAGATTATTTAGAGTTGCATTCATTATAAGATATTATTCTGAAGTTTTACTTGAAAGTATTCATATTGTGGCACGGTTATAAATTCATATATATTTTTGCCAAAAGTATCTCATTATCTTGCCCCTTAAAATAATAATAATAATAATGAAAAGGGGCTGAAAAAAAAAAGTATTCCGAGTCCTAAAAAAAAGAATAAAAAAAAGGATTCATGTAAAAGAAAGAAAGTATGTTCTTGTATTGCATTGATTATCGCTTGTAAAGTGCAGTGTTGTTTGATTTTTGTTCATTCATGTATGCAACTTGCGCTCATTGTGATGTGATGAATTGATAGATTAATTTCTCGGTCCTATGAGCCATTAATAACCTATTTCCTACCCCAACCATGGCCCCATTACAACCTTCAAATAAGACATTTGTATCTCAAAAGTCACCCAAAACATAATAAAATATCATTACAATACAACACATATCAATTCCCCCACACCTAATCCATGCTTTTTCTCAAGCATATGTCCAAACCAAGAATTCAGATACTCACTAGCACAAAAGTCACTTCGCCGTGTTATCAATTACGTCAGATTCAAAGCATGCAAGAACCAACTAACCTCACCAAATGTGGAATGTATACAACGTAAAGCTCTCACCCTCATGTTTTTAGGCTATATTCACTCAATGCACATGAACTAAACGACGAACCCCATAGGCTTGCAAGCAAATCAAATCAACTCCACAATTCCTCAAGAAATTAACGTTCATAAAAAGGCCCTCTGGGGTGAGGCAATATAAAAAGTATTTCAGATTTAATTGCAAAAGGGATCTATTTAAAAGGGGATCTTGGGATGGAGAATAAAGAGACGATTTGCAATTGAAGACGGGAAGAGAAACAGACTACCACGTTCTACCACGACACCATATTTCTTGAAAGGAATAAGGGAGAAAGAAGAGCACGGAAGATAGGAGAACTTGGAAGAGGATTGTAGACGATTTTTTGGGGCATTCTTCTTCTTTTTCGATTTCAAAATTGAAGGAATGATGAACTTCTTTATTTGTTTTGTGTTTTCAATTTCTATGAATTTCGAGTAATTTCATTTCTAGCATAGGTGTAAATTGATGTTTGGGATTGAATTTGTGAGATTTAATTTTGTTTAATTTGGTGTTCATCGATATCGGGTATTTCTAATTCTTCTAATTTATAAGTTTAGAAATCTTAAATTGATTATTGTGCACATATTGATTTGAGATTTCATAGCTAAATTGGAGATTGACACACGTAATTGTGTAATTTTTCAATTGGTGTAGCAACTTAGAGGAATACTCTAGGAAAGAATAATAATCAATTTTAAACACATCCGCGTAGGAATTTTTTTATATTGAATTGGGTCTTTCTAGTACTTAAAGTTGTCGAATCAGTAAAACTATGGTTGTACTTAGGATTCTCACTCGATTAGGGAAATAGCTAACGGTTGTACCTTACCTATCGACAAAGTTAGGAAATGTTGGTTGTGAACGCGTGTAGATCAACTATAACCAATATATCCAACTAGTCAATGAACTTGATTTTAAGTCGATGAACAAAATTTATATCCCGAACAGAAAATTCATGTCTATGCTAGAGTTTAATCATCTTTTGTAATCCACCTTACATTTTATTTTATTTTATTTAGTTGAACGGATTTATTTTCTCTTTATTTAGTTCGATAATCAAAACCCCCCATTATATATATATTAGTATAATTATATTCAACTGAGTGTTCAAATCATTTATGCTCTTTGCGGAGACGACCCTACTCACCGAACTACTGCATTTTGCAAATTTTTTGTGGTGTAGGAACTGATACTTTATTTTGAAGCTGTATGACACGCGTGCAACAAATGATCATTACTCCAAAACTAATGTAATATTTTTTAAGAAACTACAATTTACATAGTTTAAGAAGATACAACCGATTCGAGATTTTTGCAACCTCGCAATTCTAGCAAGGGAAAATTCAACCATTTTGAATCCATCGAAGTGATGTTCAAATGAGTATGATTCCATTTTAACCAATGGAAAATCAATATGATAGTTGCTAACTACGAAGTTGTTGCGGCTATCGTTAGCGCTATTAGTGAGTTTTTGGGAAAGAAGAATAACTCTCATGGTAGATATGAAATAGTGGAAATTATGACGAGTTAAATTCTAAGCGCAACATTTTTCGTATTAAAATAATTGAGAATAAAATAAAATAAATAAATTTAACCAGATTCCATTAGGGATTTATGAATTGATTGAGGGTATTGTGTTTTTCAAGTCTATCACACAATTCTTCTTAAAAAATAGATATTCCGTCTAAATTTTAGATCACAACCCTAACATATTTATACATTATTATTAATTTGCATCATCACCCAATTAATAATTTATCGGATTTCTGCATATAGGAAGCTTGCACTTACTAAATACATTTAATCAAATAAAATTAATAGATCACTTAATATATACTTAACCTGACTGATAGTCTACCAAAAGTCTCCCACTTGGTAAATGTGTATCATATAACCTTATGAGCTCATAAAAAATTTTTGCTATAAGATGTTTTAGTGCATTTTACAAATTTTATTTTCAATCACATTAATGTCGGATCAAAGCTTTCATTACTTGATTTATCGGAATTAGACCGTCAATGATCAATACATTAATATAACTTAAGATTCGAACAAGTGTGGATGCACAACGTGGAAATTTCATGTAATGTAATCTTAACATGTTTATTTCCAATTGATCCACCTTAACTTTAATTCAAAATAATTTAATATTGGATACTGAATACTGAACATCAAATACTGAATATTGAATATTGATCAGTGCAGTTTAAACCAAAATAACTTCAATAGCATTTGAACATTACTAATTAGCTCCCCTAAACCAAAATATCATAATTTGGTTCCATTTTCATACGAGGAACATGCTCATTATAGAAGTTGTATGAATATGTTCAATAATCAATTCATGATATGAAGCCACACAATTAAGTGGACCTGCTATCATGGAAATTGTATGAATATGTTCAATAATCAATTCATGATATGAAGCCACACAATTAAGCAAATGACAATATTATTATCAAATAAGGTACTAGTTTCAACCTATTTTGAATTCTTGAATGAACAATAATAACCAAGTTTGTTCAACATCGAAATTGAACAAAATTTTGTCTAATGACGATACCAACAAAATGTCTCATCCAAATCCAAATAATAATCGGTACTTAATAATAATCTAAATTTTTCAATAACTACAACTTCAAATTTCTTGTCATCACCTATATAGATGTATATTTCACTATCAATTGATTTTCGATAATAAAGACAATATTGCATAAAGACACTAATGTGAGTTTTTGCACCAAAATCCACCCATCAAGTGTGCCTATGATATGAAATTATATTAATTTCAGGACAAACAAAAGTAAGTTTTAATGGAAGTGTACTAATTTCTTTGTTTTTTACTTCCAACAAACTTCTCAATATGCTCAAAGAACTCTTTGACATTCAAAGTTTAGGCATAGTACCCGTAAATATTTCTGGAATGTTTTTATTTATAATCATCATGCTGGCTTCTTTTAACTTTCAAACAACTACATTTTATCAGTAGTGCTTTCCAATGTAAAACGAGTAGATTTATCTATTCTTAATGTCGAGTTAAGATCTATATAACCCAAATGAATCATATTGATTCTATTTTCAGTGTTTAAATTTGTTCCAAGACTGTGTTAGAATTGGGAAAATATATACATAAATATAAAAGTGGAACCAAATTATGATATTTTGATTTAGGGGAGCTAATTAGTAATGTTCAAATGCTATTGAAGTTATTTTGGCTTAGATTGCAGTGGTCAATATTCAATATTCGATGTTCAGTATTCAATGTTCAGTTTTAAGTATTCAATATTCAGATTAAGTTTGTATTAAATGACACTACCAAAAAAAAGAGGCTTTCATTACGGAAGGAAGATTCGTAACAATATCGTCGTAATAAAAAGTGGTTTCTGTTATGAATTTTATCGTGACAAAAGTAATTTTTATTAGTCAACGTCTTTTTTTAGTTATTACGATAAATGTTTCGTAAAAAATACAAATATGGCAAAAAATATCGTAAATACAATAATTACGACTTTATTCTGTAACAAATGGAAATGTATTTTTATATTTTTTTAATAAAAAATTAAAAATTAAAAAAATAATCAAACTCCAAATATTGAAAATGATTTTTATAATAAATTGAATGTAAAATAAATATAAATAAAAATTTATATTTAATTAATTATATATATATAATTTATTACAATATATAATAAATAAGTAAAAACATATTGCACTTCCTACCAGCCGCCCTCCCCCTCTATTGAAAAGGTATTTGTAACAAATTGAATGTAAAATAAATATAAATAAAGATTTATTATTAATTAATTATATTTATAAAAAATTTTAAGAATAAAATATATATAATAAATATCTAATTAGTAAACCGTACCCACACCCGCCACCCTCCCCCTTTCTTCTCCAACGCGAAGTAAAATCCTTCTTCATCTTCTTCTTCTCTTCTGCAAACTTGCTCAGCCGCCGGCGCCCCTCTAGGTTAAAAATCGATAATATAATAACATTTTTCTCATATTTGTATACAATTGATTTTTCTTCCGTTTGCAGTTTCATCTGCCTTGGTCGCTGGTCGATTTCTCCCCGCCGCAGTGTCCCGTTGAAGTGAGGGCTTTTGGAACACGTCTCCGGCGTCGACCCATCAGGTAGGTGGTTTCTCTAGCTTCTCCCATCTCTTATTTCTTCTTGTCTTGCTTTCCTTCCTCGCCATGGCCGATAAGTTTGAAAGATTTGTAGTATTTTACATTGTAGAATGTCCTCTAGGTTTGATTTTGAAGCTCCTTCTGTTAGATTTAAAATATGCTTTTGTATATTTTTACACATTGAGTCATATATTTGGAAGTCTGTTTTTTTGTTAGAAGCAAACTCTGGTACTGTGTGATCCACCATGTTGGTGATGTGTTTGTAACACAGATAAAATTCATTTACCCAGCAAAGTGCAGCACTTTTGAATTTTTTACATTGTTAAATGTAATTGTATACAATTGTGCCAAGTGAATTTATTGATTAAGTTAAGTGTGATGTTTTGTGTTGTTTGGTTTATGGAATTTGGGCATCCTACACTATGATATATATAGGCGAAATTCCAATGGTGTATGGTTCTGTTTCAATTTTCATGAAGATATGACGGCTGCTTTTTGGAATATCTGGGAAAGGGTGCTTGTGTTGTGGATTTTTTGAATTTGAAATTTTTCGAATGGAAAAAGGTTTTTTGGATATTATGTCTTGAATAGAAAATAGGTGTCGGATGTGATAATTAAATAAAGGGAAGAGGATTATTTTAGTATAGATTATATGATGCAACAAGATTTTTTAAAAAAAAAAGAAACCAAAGTGCACACAGAAGCAAAGTTAATAAATACACTATATGATTTGATGATTTTGTGAATTTTATTTATTTATTTATTTATTGGTGTACCCTCCTAAGACTTTCACTAATTTTATCTTTTCATCCTGCAATAATTGCAATGAAGTACAAAAATGATCTACCAATACTATCCAATATAGAGTGCTTCTTTCCAAAACAACTTTGAATTATGTTATTATGTGTGGATATTTAAGTAAGTTTCATTGGATTCTACAGCATAATATATACGGATTCAGATGCATATATTGTTAGATAATAATACATACATATGTTGCATAATATTAATATGATATCATATCTACACTCTAAGTATTGGCTCCTTTGTCAGAAGCAACACCATTTTTTTGGTTACGTGGTTGTATGCGTCGATTTGTCGGAAGCAACACCATTTGTGCTATTTTTACTGAAAATGAGTGCATATTTAACTTGTGTTTTTTTACAGGATATTAAATTGTGGAGACAAAGACGTGCAGTGTGAATTCAGGATAAGCAGACTTGAGTTTAACGGAAGGTCGGATTTCTTTTTAATGCATTTCCATAGTGCAAAGCTTCTAAGTGTTCTATGTTTTCTCGAGTGGTGGTGTCGTTAAGTGTTGTGTGCATTCCCACATATCTGAAATATTCTTTGGACATCAGATTTGAGGATTTTTTTCATATTCGTACAAAAGGGCAAGGAAAAATTTAGAATAGTTAGAAATTTTTCTTGACACAAGTAGGGTATGGATAATGCTTGCTGCTCTAGTATTTAGAGATGACGCTCAGAATTTTTGGCGAAACGTAGAAATCATTCAATTCTCATTAAATGGCATCAATAAAAGGTTCTAAAGTAAAGTGGAGATAATGGGTGATTTTAAACCATGGGCCTTAATGTTGTCATGAATGTTATGTTTTACTTATAAGTGCAATACATGGACTTATAGGTACAAAAATGTGGTTTATTAAAGCCGATGCTATAACTTTGTTCTTTTAAATTGAGGGTGCACGCCCGTATCAAGACTTAAACAATACAAGTTTGAATGCATATTTTGCTGATGGAATCACATGTACATTGCCTTTTTAGATGGATAGGAGTTGGATAGACGATGCGAACCATATCTCGGCTCAATATTTGGATGGGGTCAAGGTTTTCTTAGATTTTGCGTTCAAAGATAGGAACTCTGATACTTCCATCTATTGTCCCTGTACATCCTGTGGCAATCGCATAACAAAATCTCGTAGGGATATCTTGCTCCATTGTATTCGCTATGGATTCGACCAATCCTACAAGGTCTGGATTTGTCATGGGGAAGGAGAGGTGAACTATGCGGCTGCAGAAGACAATGTTCCAATGCGTTGGGAGGATTAACTAGATCTTCTGTTGCAAGAGTGCGCAACAACTGAGGACACCGGGCAGGGGCCCAGTAACACCGAACCTCTTAATGATAAAGAGGATGACCATATACATCATGACAATAAGGGGTACCGAAAAATGTTAGAAGATGTAGAGAAGGAGCTTATACCAGGGTGCAAAAAATGAGGAGACTCTCGTTTATCGCTCGCCTTTTGCACTTGAAGGTTTTGTGCCACTGGTCTAAAAATCTATTGACATGTTGTTAGAGTTGTTAAGGGATGCACTTCCAGATGATGTTGTCCTCCCGAAGAACTTCTACGAGGCTAAAAAGATCACGAAGGACATGGGGTTCACATGTAAGACTATCCATACATGCATCAACAATTGCATGTTGTTTATCGGGGAAGATGTTCACCGTGATGCTTGTGTTGTGTGTGGGGGAAAAAGATTCACACAGGGTAAAGATAGATCTCCCGTGAAGAAGTTGAGGTACTTTCCGTTGGTTCCCCGATTACGGAGATGGTTCTTATCTTCCAAAACTGCATCATCTATGCGATGGCATGCCAAAGGGCGTGTCGATGATGGCAAGATGCGTCACCCAGCAGATACTCCTGCGTGGAAGGGGTTTGATCATCGGTACCCCATGTTTGCTGAGGATATTCGCAACGTATGCCTTGGGTTGGCCACCGACGGTTTCAACCCCTTTGGAAATATGAGCGTCAGCTACAACATTTGGCCCGTAGTACTTGTGATATATAATCTACCACCATGGCTATGCATGAAGCAACCATCGTTCATCCTATCTACAATTAAAGATGGTCCGCAAGGCCCGGGGGATCGGATCGACGTCTTCCTTCAACCTCTGATGGATGAGTTGAAGGAGCTTTGGTATGACGGTGTTCGGACATACGATGCAAGAAGCAAGGAGGACTTCCAAATGCAAGTTGCGTTGTTGTGGACCATCAGTGATTTTCCAGGTTATGGTATGTTGTCAGGGTGGCCAACTCGTGGGACGAATGCATGTCCTATTTTTGGTGTGAAAACTCATTCCAGGTATCTAAAAAATGGCCACAAATATAGCTACTGTGGGCATCGAAGGTTCCTACCGAGTGGGCATAGAATGCGCTATGATAAACATGCATTTGACGGTATGATGGACTTTGAGACAAAGCCGTCTCGCTTGACTTCCAATGAACTGCTCCAGCAGCTTCAGGATGTGCGAACTGAGTACCGTAAGGTTGATCTTCTTCAGAAGCTTGTTGCACAAAGATCCCGAAAGCGTATCCGGGAGGTTGATGTGAACCAACGTACATGGAAAAAAAAGAGCATTCTGTTCGAGCTCCCTTATTGGGCCGAGAACGAAGTACGTCACAACCTCGACTTGATGCACATTGAAAAAAATGTGTGTGAGAATGTATTGTATACATTGTTGGGGACTAAAGGAAAAAAAAAAAGGATAATCTCAACACAAGGAAAGACTTGCAGTTACTGCAAATACGCACTTCTTTGCACCCGGTCTCCGGCTCGAAGGGTTCTATATACTTGCCTGCTGCTATGTACACTATGAGTAACCCAAAAAAATGAATCTTCCTATCTGTGTTGAAGGATCTACGACCACCTTATGGATTCAGTTCGAACTTATCGCGTCGTGTTAGGGTACAACAACAACTATGGGGTCTTAAGAGCCACGGCTGCCACATTCTTATGCAACGACTTCTTCCTATTGCAGCCCGACGGTATACCCTTGTAACACAATTATATTTGATAACCCAATTCACGCTCCGTCTTACCATAATTAAAGGTGCCACTTCATCACTTCTTATAGGTGTCTTCCCAAGAATGTTGTGCTCGTGTTGATTGAACTTTGTAACTTCTTCAATTCTGTGTGCTCAACTAGCAACACAGTTCGTGAGCTGGAGCGAATACAAGAAAGAGTTTCGTTGACATTATGCCACCTTGAAAAGCTATTCCCACCTTCATTCTTCGATGTGATGGAGCATCTGCCAATCCACTTGGCTGAGGAGGCAATAGTCAACGGCTCAGTGCAGTACCGGTGGATGTATCCGATTGAGAGGTACCTTGGTACTCTGAAGAGGTACGTGCGGAATCGGGCCCAACCTGAGGGTTCTATTGCACGTGGATACCTTATGGAAGAGTGCGTGACCTTCTGCTCAAGATATCTTGGGGACATAGAGTCCAAAGAGAACCGGGGTGTTCAAGGTGATGAAGAAGGGACACAACACGAGAAAGGATTATTTGCTTCTAGGTTTAACCTTGATTACAATACGATGCGTCAGATTCATGGTTACATCCTAGGAAATGTAGATGCAATAAGTCCGATACGAAGGTTACTTCACCTCAACTTCACAATACTTGTATGCATTCTTTATTGATGTTCAATATATTCCAATTCTCTTTTTGCATTGTAGGATTCACGTTGATAGTATTAGGTCCAGTCGAGGTCGCACACCTCCACGTGAGGTGCAGCGCCAACACAACGAACAATTTGCGTAATGGTTTCAATCATACGTGAGTATCCTCTACCAGTAACCCTACACGGGAACGCCCCAAAAACAATATTGAAACCAAGAATCTAAACATCAACTACTTTACGTCAAATGTAGGTAGATGATCCAACTCATAACGATGTTTGCCCAATCTTGGATTGGATACGTGCATTGGCCCGTGGACCATCGTGTAGTGCAACACGGTACTCTTCGTGCATTGTTTCTGGAATACGTTATCGGGTTAAAGATCGGGATGCGGGAAAGAGGACACAATGTGCAAGTGTTATGGTTACAGCAGATACAGTAAGTTACGCCTCTCCTAGGGACCATAACCCACGAGAAGGTTCTGTGGCATATTACGGGATTGTTACATACATTGTAGAGGTGTACTATGACAATCTACAGAAGTACCTTCTTTTAAAATGTGATTGGGTGGATCCGGAGAGAGGTGTTAAAGAAGATGAGTTCAAGTACAAGCTTGTGAACTTCAATCATGTGATGTACCCGAAGAACTTGCCCACTGATGAGCCATTTGTCCTGGCAACCAAAGCCAATCAAGTTTGGTACATTGCAGACCCGGTTCAAGAGGACTGGAGTGTTGTTTTTCCGGTGACTTGGCGGGACACATATGATGTATATAGTACAATCGATCATAGATTCAGTAATAGGTTCGCTTTAGATGACTGAGGCAACGCCAGAGAAGCTGCCGACTATTGGCTAAGGGAAGACGTTGAGGGCCAACTTCTTGATAGAACAACACAGATTGACAATGTAGAGATTTCAACTCGGCATTCGGAGGAAACCTCCAAAGATGAATATGCTTAGTGGTGAAGGAAGATAGCGGGCATTTTTGACTGTTTGTAAATATTACTTAGTGAACGCCCCCATTTTGACGGTGTGACAACCACACTTCCTTTTTGAGCTCCAGGGTCAGAATAAATTTCACATCTCAACATGTGGTACTTTTTTCGTAAGGGTGTATCAGTTCAAGTACGCCTAAGGTAACAAGTTTGCGTGGATAGTCTCGTTTCATCAACTCTGTTTTCTATCGTTGTATGTTCTTCGTCAGCTACATGCATTGTTTGTTTTATTATGTTGTGACTTTTTTGTTATTTCTCACAACTCCCTAATGCTTATATGTTGCAGGTTATGGCAAAAACTCAACGAGGTACCGTAGGAGGGTCCCAAGATCCGACTGGCTCACCTGTAAGACGTGTTACCAGGGCATCCGCAGGCAACAGCCCCGTAGATGGAACTAATGTAGCTAGCAGGAACCCATCACCTGTGCGAAAAACGGCAAAAGAAATGACAAAACGAAAGGGAACGCGGGTCTCACCATTGCTCCGGCAAGTTCGCTCCATCATATCAGAGTGGGAGAAAGAGGGCAATATTCATGCTCCCACCAAATCAATGACATCGTCCGCTCGATGGGCAGTCCGTCAGGATTTGCAGGGGCCTGCAGAGGTAATGTTGTTCTTTTGCGTCACTTGGTTCTTAACTGTCACTGACATAAGTCCGTAATGTGCTGACAGTATTAAACCCAACAGGAACATAATGCTAGGGATATCTCAGCTTCCCTTGAGCCAAATGTAGCCATGCAGGATGAGGATGAGACAATACCCCACATACAAGTAGATGACGAGACAATCCCACCGACGCAAGACATGGAGACTGCGGAGAGTGACATGCCGTTCCTGGGTGGGGAATTGGGGCCCGACCTTATGGCCATGGAAGACACAGAGGCGGGCGATATGGCACACTTGGATGGGATAACATCATATGGCGGTTTGGAAATCATCATTGACAGTTTATATCTTGCATTAACTAAAGACAAAAGTGGTACATACGCTCCTTATAATAACATGTAATATCTTTTTTGTATTAGTTGGTTCCTCGAAGAAGAAACAGGGAAGGGGGTAGCGAGAATGCCATATGGATAGGGAAAAGATCACAAGATGCTTGTATTTACATCGCCGGATGGCAAAAGCATTGTTGGACCTGACGTAAACGAGTATAAGACCGCTATTGGGGTGATTGCGCGCAATGGAGCTCGACTTCCTCTGCATTACCCGACGTTTGCCGAAATACCGGAGACAAAGAGACAGGGTGCATGGATGGAGGTTCAGGTGATGTAACCTTCGTTAATTATAAATTCCTTCAATTTTTTTAGAGTTCTATTTACTCTCATACTATCTTTTTTGGACGGGGCGATAACCACGCCGCATGTCTTACCAGAGCAACAACGGATTTACCAAACTCAGCAGAGAAAGTGGTCTTGGCTGACTTACGGGAGGTTTGGAGGCATTGGAAATACAGCATCAAATCAACTTACTGCAACCCAATCCAGGATGACAACGAAGCATTGAAGAAGGTTCCTTCAAGCAGGATTGTGGCCGATCAATGGCCGAAGTTGGTCGAGTACTGGCAGGACAAAAAAGTTAAGGTATGGAATAGAGATGAAAAATAATTTGAATATTATATTGGCAGAGTCTTCTTTGAGATATATATAATTCGTATATATGTAGCTTCAATCCAAGAAAAATGCATCTAACGTACAGAAAAGAAGCTTCCCGCATCGTACTGGGCGGAAGTCCTTCACGACTCTCACTGAGGAGGTACCTTTTATTACAATTAAGAAATCAGTCCAAATTTCTTTGTTTCTATGTTATGCTCTATCCATACGTTTTCCTTTTGTATAGTTGATGGGTTTTTCAATGACGCAAGGCCTTGTGTTGATGCAGATCAAGGCGAAGGGGAAGGACCCCGACAGTTTAGAGATATGGATATCCAGTCGGACACAAGGCAAGGGAACAGACAATCAAAAAACTGAAGAGATATTGGTATAATAAATTCATTTCCTATGTTAATACAATTTAGACATTAACTACCTCTATAACTATACGTGCAAGGTCGGCCTCAGTTGATTCTTTTGTTGTAGACATATTTGCAGAATGAGCTAAACAAAATTCCGCCGGAAGGGCAGACTCCGGCTGTTCGGGAGACTCTTTACCAACGGGCTCTTGGGGGAAAGACCAAAAAATGCTCAAAGGTTGACAGTGCCGCCAGTTCAGCTCATCCCCGCAGTGAGGCAACTGGTTTAACAGATACTATAGCATTCCAGCAAGGGTGGGAAGAAATGCAGAGCGGATTTGCAGAGTTCAAGGAAATGATGGCTGAGTTCAAAACCATCAAAGCTAATGTGTATGCATTCATGCACAGAAACTCCGGAGCAATTAGTGGCCCATCTGTAAGTATTCTTAATATTCATACTTTCTTTAATTGCATCCCACGAGCTTTGAATGGCTAAAAAATTCAGTACGATCCGTTTATTTTTCATAGGCCACAGTTCGTATTGATACGGTCTCTAAGCTTCTTAGGCCCGTCTCTAAATCATCTATGACGGTATGATTTTGTGAAACCCTAATGTTAACTAAGTGTCAACTTTAGGCTAACCTTCATCTCCAACCTGTATGCTTCCAACTCTTCTGTAATCTATATTGTAGGTTGGCACCCGTGTGCTTATATTATCTCGTACCAGAGAGAAGAAAGTTGTTGCTGAGGGACTTCTGCTCAGCCCCCCTGCACCAGGTTCGTGGCATGGTGCCTTAATTTTATTCTTTTGAATCCTTCAATATGATGTTCATACCGCATTGTCGATTTTGTGACCATACAAGTCTCATAGTGCAATTGATTATGGTTTTATTAAGTATGGGCATCTTTAATTTGACATATGTGGCAGTTAAAGTATTGTGTATATATAGGCTGTTATTGTAGGGATAGTGGCTATGTTGGTGTAATGCTGATTCTATGTTGATCTTATATTTTTCATTGCTGACATGACATTGTTTATGGCTATGTTGTTATTATACTATTTAGTTGCACACTACGTCCCAACACCGATGAGTGGATGTTTTATTATTGACTATTTGTGTAGTCCCGACCTGCACACAACAGGTTTTTATGTGATGAAGATCACTAACTCATCTGTGGGGGTCTGCTTATATTTAGCGCATAAATGATAATTAATCTTCAATGGCATGATACTAAAACACATACATGGAGCAGCCCGGGTTTGGGGGTAACCGTAAGGAATTATTAATTATTGAAATTATTATTTTAATATTGTACATGATCAACTGCTTTACGTAGGTTTTATTTGTGGATGACTGGTTTATAGTTCGAGTTGCAAACGAATTGAAAATTAGAAAGTAGTGTAGTTTGGTGCCTAATTAATGGGTCAAATATCATGTATCGTAGTACATGTCCGAATGTACATACTCGTGGTATATAAGTTGGGAAATATACACTTCAAATAATTTATGACATGTTTTACGTACAGTTTAATGTGTTGATATATACGGTGAACTACATATTTTTAAATTGCTCTTGTGAATTTTGTAGGTGACACACTTTCCCTGGTCAAGGTTTTTGTTACATCTACCGCAGTCCCGGACACACCCCTTATTTTGCCGACAATTGCTGGCGCGACTACCTTTTGCGAGGTGGTCGATGAAGATCCTATTGAGTGGAACTATAAGGATGTATGGATCGACTTTCACAACTTTTACGTATGGCTTCGTAAATACAATAATTATTACTTAAACTAAACCTTATTTTGTTTGTAATTGCAGCTCATGCGCCACCCCTGAAGCATATCGACCGGTTCTTTTATGTTTTATCTCTATTTGCATTATCAATTGCATGTTGTGGATGTGTTTGGATGGTAGGTTCTTATGGATATGTGAAATACCTATGGAATAGATGCATAGACATTTGGATGTATATTTTGTGTGGTAAGAATTGTTGCTATGGATTGATGGATCTCCCCACTTGCTTATTACTAGGTTGGATGTTTGAAATGCTTGTGTTTGATGGAACATAATGTCGAAGTGGAGATGTTGCTAGCCTTGTTCGATTGGTTAATTTACTTTGTTGTTTGCTGGAGGACATCGACTAGTAAATATTGTTATGTTAGTATCCTATGTTGGGATTTCCTTATACTGTTTATTGTTTACAATTATGGCCGATTGTAATATTTATAGCATGGTTGTATAAGAAAGATCACAACAGGTTTATTTGTTACGCTCAAATTCAACTGTTCCACAACAACTCGTTTTTATGAGACGCTATTTTTTCGTAACAAAAATGAGAAATGACGTAACAAAATGTTTGTTTTGGTGTTTGTTGTTACAACCGGTTCTGTGACCATAAGAATGGGTATTTTTGGTAAGGGTTCAATGACGTAACAAAAAAGTAAATGACGTAACAAAAAAAATGAAATGTTGTAACGAAAAGTTGTTTTTCGACGTAACAAATATGAAGGGATTTTTTTGTTACAGCCGGTTTCGTCACCATAGGAGAATATATTGTTTATTACGGCTTCAATAACGTAACAACAAATCGTTACAAAAACCGTACTCTGACAAGGGATCAGGCTAACATGTTTTGGTAACGCGAGGCATTGTTGTAACAAATATCGTGACTAAAAGACCTAGCACACGCGTGGGAAGCTCGACTTTTTATTATGAGGAAAAATTTGTAACGAATATCGTAACAAAAAGTTTGCCATAAGGATCGTTGACCAAGAGTAGTGGTTACGAAAATGTGCGTGGCAAAAAACATTCGTTTCGCGAGTACACATTACGGATAAAACTCGTCACTAATGCGTAACAAATACGCATATTGCACGAAAATTGGCTTTTTGTTACGAATTTCCGACTGTAGCAGAAAACTTTTTTTTGATAGTGTGATCTATTAAATTTATTGAATTTAAATATATTTCGTAAGTGCGGCCTTCCTATGTAGAGACCTGGTGATTATTAATTTGGTAATGAGGCCAATTATTAATAAGGTTTAAATATGTTAGGTTTGTGATCCCAAGTCTAGACAGAACATTCATTATTTTTATATCTTATCATAAAATTAACGGCATAAACTTACTGGTTTTCTCAGGAGAGGTCGCCTAACAGGCTTGCATAACACAATAACTTGAATCAATTTGAGATCCCTTTTATGCTAATGGAATGAGGTTAATTTACTTTATTTTCTTATTTCAATTATTTAATGCGACAAATCATTGTCTTTAGATTTAGTTCCTCATAATTTCCAACATCACTTTGAAGTAATTCTTCTTTCCCAAATCCTCACTAATATAAATAACTATAGGCGCAACAAATTCGTAGTTAGCAACAATCATATTGATTTTCCATTGGTTAAGATGGGATCATACTCATTTGAACATCACTTCGATGGATTCAAAAGGCTTGAATTATCCATCGCTAGATTTGCGAGGTTGCAAAAATCTCGAATCGGTTGTATCTTGTTAAACTATGTAAATTGTATTTTCTTAAAAAAAAAAATTACATTAGTTTTGGAGTAATGATTTTTTGTGCGGCTGACTTCGTAACAAATTGGTTTTGTGTGGGTTGAAATACAGTATTGAAAAGTTTATGGTAAGACGATTTTTTTTTTTTCTTTTTTAAATACTATTGACTTCTCATCTTATAATAAGAATGCTCTGACATACTCTATACATTTTTTTTATCACTTGAGTACTTAGTTGCACGTATCATATCTGTTACCACAAAAAAAAAAAAAAAAAAAACAAAAAAGAGAGAGATTGGTTCTTTTCCTACAAGCCAATTAATGTTGGGTACCTTTTGATAGATTTTGAAACTATTGCTTTTGGAAGTAAATATATATTCGTATATTATGTATTATTTTAAGCTATAAAACTTTCATTTGTTTGTATAATACTGTTACGTATGAAATTTAGAATTAGGTTAAAAAGCCCAAGGTAAAAGAAAAATGGGCCTGGCAATAGAGTTGATTGAACTGGCTGAAGGACACCGTGAGGAAATCAAGGAAAATAGGTTTATTTCTAAGGAAAATACAGGACGGAAAGACCTCAGGTCGGAAGGTCTTCAAGTCGGGAGGTCCTCAAGACGAAAAGTCCTCAGGACGGAAAGACCTCAGGTCGGAAGGTCTTCAGGTCGGGAGGTCCTCAAGACGGAAAGTCCTCAGGACGGAAAGATCTCAGGTCGGAAGGTCCTCAGGTCGGGAGGTCCTCAAGACGGAAAGTCATCAGGACGGGAAGTCCGCAGGTCGGGAGGTCCTCAGGTCGGAAAGTCCGCAGGTCGAAAAGTCCTCAGGGCGGAAAGTCCTCAGGTCGGACAGGTTGGGAAGTTCTCAGGTCGGAACTCTGCGGCGGGACCAACAAGTCGGATGGTTTGTTAGTCGGGATGTCTGTAGCTAATCCAAACAAGTCAGATGGTTTGCAAGTCGGGAGGATTGGCAGTCGGACCAATACGGTTGTAGATTGGCAGTCGGGCCAAAAGGGCGGAAGGTCTGTGGTCGGCTCAAAGAGTGAAATATAGTGACAATTTTGGTCCGCTGAGGACACGTGTCAGCAGGAGAAGGGTTGGAAGACGGTTGGAAAGGAGACGTTGTAACCGTTCGGGCGACGGTTTTCAGTACAGTTTCCCAGAGAATATTTAAGGGTTTGAATCATCATTTGGCAGGGTATCTTCAATCAACTTCAACAAAGCAAAGTCAGATTTGGGGATCACCACTTTAAATTTCAGTCTTTTATTTTCCAGTTTATTTTCTGTACCATACAGTGTTTAGAGATTCCTAATCTCAGGCACTAATTAATCAAGTTTAAGGATATTTTCTATATCTTTGAATTTTACTTTATTTTTGTTGAAAAAATACATCAACAAATTGGCGACCACAGTGGGAGCAAGACAAAATTGCTCATTCCAATTCCGGCGATAATTTCATACGTCTTAGATCCGGCCGTATCATCGGAAGGGTCCATATGGCAGGTTCACAACCTCAATCATCTTCGGCACCGGCGGGAGAATCCGTTCCACCACCTGTTGTGCCAAATGCCGGGGAAATCCCACAACCACCAACTGATTGGAGGTCTTATGTTCAACAAATGAACAACCAGCAAACTTTGGTTATGCAGAATATGTTGCGTGAGCAACAAACGAACATGTTGCGTGAACAACAAAATCTAATACAGAACATGTTGGATCAAGCACTGTCGAGGGTTAGTCTTCAACCCACTCAAACTCCACCAGGAGTATCACCATCCAGACTACAGGCAAATTTCGCAGGGCCATCATTCGTGGATAGTGCATTTCCAAGTGCCACAAATCCCAACCGAACGGATAGGGGAAAATCTCCTCTGACTTTTCCAAACACTGTTCCGCTGGGACCAAGGGTTTCCAGTCCGCAGCCGAACAATACAAGGGAGGATAGGCCTGGAGGATATATACATGATCCTATTCATATTCCTGTGCAGGATCCTTTCCATGTTCCTGATCATCAACGCTTTCATGTAGATCCTGATGAGATCGCACATATATTAAGGGATCAGTTTGGGCTAACTCCTCAGATGGCTAACCGCCCTGCATATCAGAGACCTTTCCCAGAAAGGATCATTAATGAACACCCCCTCCCAAGGAATTATCGACCACCCGATTTTCATGCATTTTCAGGGAAGGACGGATCTTCCACCATAGAACATGTTGGTCGGTTCACAGCACAATTGGGAGAAGTTGGCAATAACCCTTTTTATAAGTTGCAACTGTTTGGTTTATCTCTTACTAGAACAGCGTTTTCGTGGTTCGCAAGTCTGCCTCCTGGACAAATTCAGACGTGGGAAGGACTGGAGATGGCATTTCATGCCAGATTCTTCAATCCTTTACCAATTGTTTCTTTAACTGATTTACTAGAATTGAGACAGTATCCAGAAGAATCTGCTTCACAGTTTATAGAAAGGGTGCGATTGATGAAAGGGCGATGTCCTACGGTAATCAGTGAGAAAGAGATGACCAATTTAGTGGTCCGGAATATGCATACTCGCTTAAGAAAGGCACTCACTGCACTGGATGTTGAGGATTTGGCAAGTCTTGCATCTAAGGCTAGGCGCTTAGAGTCTTTGTTCAGAGAGGAAGATCAGAATAACAGGCGTAATAGAGGCCAACATATGGCGAGTATGGGAACAGAAACGTGTGACTTTGATTTTAATCAGTCAGAAGAGATGGCAGCTGAAATCCTCTCAGGAAAACCTTATGTATGCCCCAAATTGAAGCCTGTACCAGGGTCTGAAGGAAAGGATCAACCGACGTTTGATAGTTCGAAAGCTGACGAAATCTTTGATATCCTGTTGACTGATGGCCAGATCCGTATTCCAAAGGGGCAAAGATTGGCCACTAAAGAAGAAATCAAAGGGAGACCATATTGTAAGTGGCATAATTCTTTCACACACAATACAAGTCAGTGTACTCATTTCAGGAAGGAAATTCAAAAGGCCATCAAGACAGGTCGGCTCAAGTACATCACTCTAGGTGTAGACCAGCAACCGTTTCCGAAAGTAACAACGGCAATGGTTGACATCCAGCCAAGTTCGGGAACAGCGAAAAATTCGGCCAATAGTGGACAAACAGGGGAACGAACTCAGGCAAGCCCCGGAACAAAAAGAAGAAGTCAGCCAAACAGTGGCCGACCGGAAGAACGACTCAAAGTTTGTGAAAAGCCAGTCGCTGAAAAATGGGACCATCCAGACGGTTCTTTTAATGTGGAGGTGAAAGAAAAGGTTTTAGTGCGTGACCACCCGACCAGAAAAACAGGGTCAGTCGGGAACAATTGGGCTCGAAATAAAAAGCCTTTACCAGTTGATATAGATCCTCGTTTCCCAGGTATGAATCATACACAGATTCGCAATGCCAAACGCAGGTATGCTGCGAAGTATGGGAAACGAGTTCATTCAGCAAAACAACTAACCGACGAACAAAAAGCAGCCGACCACTTGGCAGGAGATCAGTCCATTAGAGTCTTTACAGAACAAACAACCAACGAGCAGGGAGCAGCCATTCAATCTCCAAAAAGTCGGTCCAGTCGGGTCTGTTCAAGAAAGCAACCGAACGACGGATTAGGCGCTTCAGATTATACCAAAGGAAGTTCG